GGGGAGGGGCCCCTCCGGTCCGGCAGAACCGCGTGATTATATGTATCTCAAACGCAGTGCTCCCAGAAATCCTATGGGGCGGGCGTTTTTCCACTTCACAGAGGTGGATACTCCACTTGTCAGTTCCCCCAAAGTCGCAGAGGTAGGTCCCGAGTTCTAATCTGCTCCGCACTGCCTCCCCCGCCCAATTCGAATCCTAAACATTCTGGTTGACATTTTCAACAAACCTTTACGAATGCCCACCATGTTTGCTTATAAATAATAATTGTATGTTTACATTTTTGTCTCTTTCTTCCACCAGCCTCTGTGAGGATTGGGCTCATGACAGCTGCCTCGCTCACTCCTCCACTCTCGGTAACCGGCACTTAACTACATGTTCAATAAATACTTGTAGTCCAAGCATACAAAACAGCTAGTGCAAAGGCCCAGAGGCCAGAAAAAAACATATGGTGCTTTGGGGAAGCAGCAAGTAATTTCATCCGGAGAAAGTGCCAAGAGACTAAAATGGCAGGCAGAGGCCAGTACATGAAAAGCCGAATGCCAAGTTAAACAGACCTCACCCTGCGGAGAAAGCAGCCAGTGGAAATGTTTAAGCAGGGGCATGAGATGATCACTCCACTGCAGCGTGAATAATTGATTGGAGGGGTAAGATGAGGAGGCTGATTAGGAAGCTAGTGTAGTGGTCCGGGTGAGCGATAAGGAGGCAGGTGGCAGCAGGAGTGGAACAGACAGGACTCGGTGACTGGTTTGAAGGAGTGGGGAAGATTTTAGGGGAAGGAAGACCTCAGGTGAATGGTGTTGAATAGGTGGTCCATCCACTCATCTAAGAGGAAGGGATGTACAAGTACGTGTGTCATTGATTTCAGGATAAACATTTTTCAGATTTAACATCTCAAAAGCCCAGATGCCGTGTATAATCAAAGGTGTGACATAGTTTAACTGGCAATTTTTATTTTCTTTCTTTTTTAGTGGAACGAAAAATAATGATGGGGTTAACATTTGATAGTGTCTCATATTCGATGAAATACGGTAGATCTCAACCCTTTACCCCATCACACTCCCCCCCAAAAAAAGAGACACACGCAGAGGCTCCGCAATCCCGAACGAAAATTTCTTACCACTTTCCTAGTGCTGCAGGAAAAAATTCTGGAGAGGAGTTGTGCCCGAGGGCCTCTCCCTGAGGTTGAAGTCTTGCTTAAATTTTCAGACATAAATGCAACCCACGCAACACCCCATAAACAAGTAGGACAAAAGTCATCTCTGTTATCTTTTTAACTTTAAAAAACAAAAAGCAATGCATGCTTATTGTAGAAAAGTTGGAGAATTCCGAAAAGTAAAAAGAAGGTAAAAAAAAAATCACTAATAACTCCTTGACGTATTATAACCTCCTAGTTCTTTTTCCTTAAGTAGGCATGTACATATTGTGTATTTTCATTTTTAGTTTTAAATTTATTTTTAAAATGAAAACAGTAATACATGTATATATTAAGAAAAAATTTTTCATGCTGTACTTTGGCCATATACAAAGAAAAATTTCCCTACCATACTAGATCTTCCAGTCTCTCCTCATAACAACCACTGTTTACTGTTACTTGGAATAATCTCCTTGTGTATCTATTTTTGTATACACTATTGTGCTTTTAGCTTTTTTCACTTTGTGTGGTCATCTTTCCATCTGAGTTTATACAGATTTTTTTAAACAGCTTTATTGAGGTATAAATTACATACCATAAAATTCACCCAATTTGAGTGTACAATTCAGTTAATTTTAGCAAATTTAATAGAGTGGTGCGACTATCACCATAATCCAATTTTAGAACATTTCTATCACCCCTCCCCCAAAGATATATTGTCTTTTGCAGTTATTTCCTGTCTCCTCCAGCAACTGGCAACCACTCACCTACTTTGTCTCCATAGATTTGCCATCTGTACATTCAATATATCATTTTTGTGTGTGTGTCTGGCTTATTTCACTTAGGTTGATGTTTTCATGATTCATCCATATTATAGCATTCCTTTATTGCCATATAATATTCCATTGTATGGATACACCACATTTGGTTTGTCCATTTACCAGTTAATGGACTTGGGAGTTGCATCCAGTTTTTGTTGTTTATGAATAACACTGCTATGAACATCTGAATTAATGGACATAAGTTTTCATTTCTCCACCTAGAAGTGGACATGTAGACTTGCTTCATTCTTTTTTATTTATTTTTTATTCTTTATTTTGGGGGGGTATTTCATACTTTTTTAAACAGCTGTATAGCATTTTACTGCTTGGATGTACCGTATTTTAACCATGCCCCTGCTGGTAGACAATTAGGCTGTTTCCACATACGAATTTCTTTTAAAAGAAAGGAAGGAAGGAAGGAAAGAAGAACGGAAAGAAGGAAGGAAGGAAGGAAGGAAGGAAGGAAGGAAGGAAGGAAGGAAGGAAGGAAGGAAGGAAGAAGAGAAAGGAAATAAAGAACAAAACCCGCTATCTTCTCCATTTTATTGACAAGAACATGAAGATCCCGAGAAGGGAAAAACGTTGTCACAGGTCACACTGAGAGATGGAGATCCAAGTTCGGGTTCCCCAGCTCCCATCCACGCTCTTCAAATACTCAGTCCGAGACCCTGCCAGCAGGGCCGCCGGGCCCAAGGAAGCCCGGGGAAGCCAGGTTAGATTCCTTAACGCCAAGCAAATGGGTTTCTGTATGCCCCCTAGAGGGACCTGCAAACCGTTAGGCATCGCGCCACACACACCCGGCCAGCAGGGGGCACTGCAGCCGCCTCCATAGCACTGACTGGATCTCCTACAGTGCTCGCTTTTCTGAGTCCCCGAGGCACTTCCGGCAGCCGCGGAACTTTGGTGCTGCCGGACGCACAGCTTGCGGACGCGGGCGCGCAAGGCGGCAGGAGTTGTTTCCGGTCGGGTCGGTGGTCTGGGTTGAGTTGCCGCGGCGGAGGAAGGAAGATGGAGACGATTCTGGAGCAGCAGCGACGCTATCATGAGGAGAAGGAACGGCTCATGGACGTCATGGCTAAGGAGATGCTCACTAAGAAGTCCACCGTGAGTGGGGCCTGGGCAGGAGGTACCTCTGAGGTTGGGCCCCATCCCGTGTTTAACCTGAGAGCTTTCTTCGGCCCTCAGACCCGCCCCACGGCCCGCGCCCTCCCCGGGCTCCCCCGCCGAGCTCAGACTTTGGTAACCTCCCTCCGGGGCCTAGCGCCCCCGGGGCCTCTGTGCCGCTAAGACCTGAGCGGGTAAGCTCCGCCCTCGGGCGGCCTTCCCAACTCCAGAAATCCGACTAACGGCGTCTGTGTCACCGTTTGCCTTTCTTCAGCTCCGGGACCAGATCAATTCTGACCACCGCACACGGGCCATGCAAGATGTGAGTGCCCCCATTGTCCGCTTCTGTTTGGTTCTCGATGGGCAGGTAGAGGGGGGAAGGGGCCGCGGGGTGTCAACAAGAGCCCTGGCCCAAGGAAACCGGATTGGCCAGTCGGGTCGTCTGCCCTGAGATGCCCACGCTGCTGCCAAACCTGAGGGTGTTTAACCGCCCTTGTTCGCGTCTCTAAATGGAGAACTTTTACTCATTCTTCATTACACTCAGAAAGATGCCCCTTCTTATAGCATCGTGTCTCATGGATGTACAGAGTAGTTATGAGGAATCAATGATTCAGGCTCAGAAGGTATTCTGCCTTCTCCCCAAAAGAGAATGCTATGTATTTGTGTTTTCCTCCCAGAACACTGTATTGAAGTATTTGAAGAATATTTGGCTACCACGCTGCATTTCCTAGTGATAGTTCAATTTCTTACTTTTAGAAAACTAATCAAAATCAAAATATTGATGTTCGTTAAAACCAAATGATAAGTAAACGGAGGTTTGTTATACTGTACTCTCTACTCTTGCACGTTTGAAATCTGTTTAGAAAGGAGTAGAAGACCTAATCAGAGTTTCTGATTTGGTGGAGATAATTAGCATTACAAGCCCTTCGTCCCTTGTCTAAATTCCCCAATCCAAAATACTCTGAAAACAAAAGGTTTTTTGTTTGTTTGTTCTGGTAGTTACTTGGTGGCAAAAACCTGACTTGATCTGAACAGATGAGAGGCTTTTTTTTTATGGTTTATCCTATTTAATAAATAATGGTGTAGGTTTCACTGCAGAACTATTAATATGCATTCTAGATTCCACTAGGGGTGTTATGTATAGTACCTTCCTGAACTTAAAAATTCCAAATTCTGAAACAAATCTGACCCCAAAAGTTTTGGAAAAGGGACTGTGTACTTTTACCATGTTGAGTTTGAATCCAAAGGAAGCTGTATGATGTTTTATTTAGCCTGTGCACTCCTCAGTCACACTACTTTCTGAAGTAGTGAAAACCATCTTGGACCATCCTTTTTTAGCTTTGAGGGTCTCGGGTGGAAACTGCTGTTTACCAAAAGATGACTCTCTTACTTGGCTCTGTTTTATGATTCTTCTAGGGAAAGTTAAATATAGGAACTTTCTGCCACCCCTAAAGTCACATCACTTAGGTAATCTTAAAAATGACCTGTTTTAAAAGCTAACTAGGAACCAGTGCTGTCTATTAAAGGTACTAGAAAGCACAGGAATTTTTAACACATTACTTGCGTTTTCCCTGGGCTTTGACTAGAGAGCCTTTGTTGGTTGCTTGGCTCTACATTGTACAGACTGCTTCATTCTAATGGGTTTGTGTTTGCCTTTCAGAGGTATATGGAAGTCAGTGGGAACCTGAGGGATTTGTATGACGATAAGGATGGGTAAGTGACAGTCACAGCCAATCCAGGAATTAGTGCTTTTGAGGCACCATGGTTAAAGGACTGACTTTCTGTGCTCCATGTTCTTTGGATTTTTTTTTTTT